GTCTCCAGGTCAGCCCCCCCGCCCCGTTTCCCTTGGAACCCGCCTCTCAGCAGTTTCTGAAGAAAGGGTCCTTCCCTGGGACACCGTCTCCCCATGTGGGCCTGCTGGTGGCTGTGCTGCCTTTTGACTGGACAGTCGGCTTGGCTGGCAACAGACCTTTGCTGCGTCTTGCGTCCCTCGGCATCCTCAGTGTGTCACTTGTTGCTCTGGAGATGCCGGTCCTGTGCCAGGCGGGAGCCGTTCTCCTCGCTCGGGGGCCCCGAGGGCGCTTTCCTTTTCCGTGAAGTGTCCTCATTTTGCTGTGATAAACACGTGGCTGTCTGGTTGGACCCAGAAGGACCAGCTGGCGCGTGAGCCAAGGCCAGCATCCTTAAGTTCCTCCTAGGTGGATCAGATGCCCGTGTCGGGGATCACAGGGAGGAGGGGACACGGGTGCGCAGGCCGGCCTGGCCGCCCTGTGCAGACAGGACCTCAGGTTTTGTTGGATTTGGTCCATGGCCAGGGCGGCAGCCTGAGCATGGTGGTGGCGGGTGCTGTTGCGCGGGGAGTCCCTGGCCATCACCCACATCACCTGACATGATCACACACCTGCGCTGTCCACCTTCCTTCCTTTTTTTTTTAAGGCAGGGTCTCACTCTGTGGCCCAGCTGGGAGGACAGTGGCATGATCAAGTTTCGCTGCAGCCTTGACCTCCTAGGCTCAGGCGATCCTTCCGCCTCAGCACCCTGAGTAGCTGGGTCCACAGGTGCACACCACCACACCTGGCTCATTTTCTGATTTTTTGTAGAGATGAGGTCTTGCTGTGTTGCTCAGGCTGGCCTTGAACTCCTGGGCTCAAGTGATCCTCCTGCCTCGGCCTGCTGAAGTGCTGTGATGACAGGCACCGTGCTGGCTGAATTTCTTATGCTGTGAACGTGACAGATAGGTGTTGGTCATTTCCTTTTCACTCTGCATGGCAATGACAAAGCCAGAGGACTCAGCCCAGGCGGCCTCGGAAACAGGCCTCACTCCGTTGTGCAGTCCCAGCCTCTCCCTGCCTGGCCACCTGTGACAGCTGCGTGCTCTGGCAGGCTCGAGAAGAAACTGCTTCTAGTTCTCCAGGCCTCCAAGGGGAGAGACACGAGTGAGACGTGGGAGGGACAGACCCGGGACAGCCCCTGCCACGGGCATGGAGGCTGCCTCGTGGGTGTGGCCCGCTGGGCATGGCCTCGTGGGCACAACCTCGCGGGTCCCTCCTGCTGACTCGCCCTCTGTCGTTGGCAGCCGACTCCGACAAGCGCCACGCCGGCGACTTCGCACTGTGGAAGGCCGCCAAGCCCCAGGAGGTGTTCTGGGCCTCCCCGTGGGGACATGGGAGGCCCGGCTGGCACATCGAGTGCTCCGCCATGGCGAGGTAAGGCCCGGCCCAGGTGTGGCCTGGACGCACTGGCTCCCGCGAGCCCGCCTTGGGCCGCAGAGGGTGGGACAAGGCAAGGGCACTGCACCGAGGCCAGCTGGGGCTGGGAGGACATTCCAGGAAGGCCAGCCGCCAGGACATGGTTACGTCCCGACAGCCATGTGCCTGATTTTAGCAGACGGTCATGTTTTAGTTCACACAGTGGCTTCCCGGGCCCCGTTGGCCTCAGCAGGAGGCCTCGAGCTGAGGCTGGAGGGGACAGTGCCCCACGCCCCGTCCAGTCTCCAGCCGCCGACAGCAACGTGCATACCCACGGAGGCCCCGCCCCCTCCACACCCGCCTCCCGGCTCCTGCCACCCAGGCCAGTCCCTGCCAGGTCCTTTCTTGGCCCTGGGGACCCTCCAGCAACCCTTATCTCAGTCCTGCCAGCGCCCTCTCCCTCACGGCCCGCGTGCCACCGAGTTGCCTGCCGCCCCCGCTCGGCCCCAGGACACTGCCCCTCCACTGTGGCGAGGCCGGCTCCCGAGGTGGCCTCTCTGTCCCGCCTCCACCACCCTCCGGAGCGTCTCCATCTGGCCCCTCC